ATTTGTTAGAAATGTGATGAAGCACCAAAGCACGTGGCACCTGCCACATCTATGCAAACACAAGTCACAGCATTTTATTCTAGGAATAATAACCAGGGCAAAATTTTCATCACGAGAGCGATTAAAGACAAAGAAAACCTGTGAGCTCTCCAGATGGAGCAGGAGGAAGGGTGTGTGCCGTTGACAGAGATGGCGCTGGTGCTGCTGTTGTGGCTTCCTGGGAAAGACAGCCAGTCCCCGTCTCCTGCCCAAGTGTGTGCCCTCCCCGCCCCACAAGCATTTTGCTTAGGCCACATTCAGGAATCCAGATGCCTCATTGTAAATGAAGGAGCAGAGGCTTAGAGTGGAGAAGGGGCTTGCTCAAGTTCACATAATGAATTAAACCTGTTCTGACTTCTAGCACAGGATTCTTTTAAGCACTAATTAGTATAAAAGTTCTTAATATGAAAAGGAGAAAGGAGGTGAGGAGGGGGAGAAGGAGGTGTCCTATCAGGGGCCCATTGGCAGGCAGGGGAACTGACAGGTGTCAGGGGGCAACCAGAGACCTTGGGGGGAACAGGGGAGTCTGCTGGGGAAAGAAGAGTTGGAGGCTGGGGCCTAGTTGGGTTATTTTCAGAGCTGCTATCTTTGTCTGCATCTGCTAAATTATTAAACTGATATCACATCCTAGAGGGTGCCAGGCCAGGTTGCCAGGAAGAGACTGAAAGGGAGGGGCTGGATCTCTTAGCAGAGGCAGAGAATCTTCTAGGCTGGAATGCAGGCAGACTCCTCTGGCTTTCACCTCCGGTCCCACCCACTCAGCCGAAGGAGGGCATCCTGTTTGAGGTCACAGCTACACTGGCCTCCATGAGGCTGTCTCCGCCGGCTGCTGTCCTGGGGGGGCATGTGCATAGTGGACAGGGCTCTGGAGCAAGGTCCGTCCCGGCCCCCCGGCTGCCTCGTCTCTCTCAGGTCTCTGACTAGACCACAGACAGACATGACCAGCTCGAGATAGCATGGACAAAACCCTGCCTTGATCTGTGTTCTTGACTTTGCCATAGTCATCGAAAGTTTCATTCCTCAGACCCTGAAGTGACTTTTTTTTTGAAAAAGGAAATAAAGAATTTTATTTTTTAATTTTACTTGAAGTGACTTTCTCAGGTTACATGTTCAGCAAGGGCCTGAGCTTTAATTCAGACTCAAGTCTCTAATTCCAGATGATTTTTAGCACAAGATTTTAAGTACTAATTACGTATTATCTCTTTTTCTTTTTTCTTTTATTTTTTTAGAAGGTTTTTTTTTTTTAATAGAGGCATGCTTTATTTATTTATTTGTTTGTTTGTTTGTTTTGTTTATACATGCACTGGGTACAGTCAGAAGCGCGGGAGGGTGAGAGAATTCACCAGAGCGGGGGGCAGAGCAGGTAGAAGGACTGAAGTACACTGCTGAGGGGAGCAGCGGGCGGCAGGAGAGGTCTGCGCGCCATGTGGGACCCTCCTCTGGTGGCCGGGGAGCAGCCGGGGATCGAACCGGTGCCGCAGAGGCCGTGGGCAGCTTCGCAACCCAGCGCTCAACCGCTGCGCCACCGGGGAGGCCCTAGAAGGATTTTTTTTTAAAGATTTATTTATGCATACAAAAGCTGGGGCATGGGGAGATTGGGGGGTGAGAGGATTCACCAGAGACAGAGTGGGGAACAGAACAGGCAGACTGACTGAAATACACTGCTGAGGGGAGCAGCAGGCGAGACAGGAGAGGTCTGCTTCGCCATGTGGGTTTCTCCCTGGCCAGCCTGGGGGTTGAACTCATGCTGCAGAGGCTGCGGATAGCTTCATAGTGTGGTGCTTAACCCCTTGCGCCACCAGGGAGGCCCTCTTTTTCTTTTTTGAAACGTGTTTAGTATGTTTGCTGTTTTCCATCTTTCCTCCCTGCTGGGCTGGTAGGGCCTCCCCCGTGGCACAGTGGTTGAGCGCTGGGTTGCTAAGCTGCCCGCAGTCTCCTCAGCACCGGTTCAATCCCCAGCCACTAGGCGAGGGTCCCTCTGGCGCGCAGACCTCTCCTGCCGCCCGCTGCTCCCCTCAGCAGTGTGCTTCGTTAGTCTGCCTGCTCTGCTCCCCGCTCTGGCTCGGTGAATTCTCTCACCCTCCCGCACTTCTGACTGTACCCAGTGCTTGTATAAATAAATAAATAAATCTTTAAAAAGAGAAAGAATGAATAGCTTTTATGAAGATCAGTAAAAACCAACAGTCATTGTTGTTTGAAAATGTATTCCTTAACTCTAATGTGTGTGTTGGACTGGCTGTGCCCTCAGGGGTGGCGGGCTGTGACCCCATCCACTCCGGGGGTGTGGCGCTCGCTAGGGCCATTAAGGAAGCCAGGAAGGAAGCTGGAGATGCCAACCCCCTCTCACCTCTGCTCCTGTGTACATGGTGTTCCCATCCTGAACCCTCCCTCTTCTGCCCTCACCATCTGCGCACCACCCGCTTGGATTCATGCTTCTGGTCTCCGCTTAAATAGCATCTGCAGCAACTCTCTCTGAGCCCCTCCTGCCCTGCTGGGCTGTCGCTGCTCCGTGTCCCCATGGCCTCTGTTCCCCCATCTCAGCAGACACCTCACTGAACTGTCATCACCTGTGTGTCCCCGTGGACTGTGTGCTCCCTGAGTGTGGGCCCCCCCATCATTGCTGCACCTGCAGTAGCCAGCCCAGCAGAGGAGATAATGATCAAATTTGTGGAAAGAGTGAAATAAACAATGAATGAATGGAGAAGGGGGCTTCTCTATTCCCAGCAAGCTCTACCCTTGCATTATTTTTCAATTCAGGCCAGTGTTTGAGTGCCTCATGTCATGGGCCAGGCAGACTAACTTCACTTCAGGGAACTCTAAGGATAAGCAAAACCAGTCAAGGGGGAGTGACCATAAGTAACAAATACACTTGTCTATGACTTGTGGGAAGGCCACAGGGGGTAGGAAAGGCCACATTTTGGAGAATAGGCTAGCGATGACTTTGGGGTGGGCCCGATATGTATTTGAACTCTTGGCCATTTATTGCTGTGTGACCTAGGCAAGCCTCTTCACTTCTCTGGGCTCTGGTTTCTCATGAAGAAAAGGTTGCTGATGCCCCTCTCTTAGAGATGCTGCGAGAAGGCAGAGAACATTCACCCGTTTGATATAAATAGGTTATCGCCTACTCAGAAAAATGGCTTGCCCAAGGTCACCCAGCTTGGCAGTATGAGTGGAATTTGGACCCAGATCTGGCTGGTTCCCTGGAGCTGGCTGCTGTGGGGAGTGAGGGCAGTTAAATCCGGGCCTGCTTTTCCTTGATTCATCCCTACAAGTTGTTGGAAGCAGTGATCTGCCTGATGAAAACAAATCACCTGCCAATCTCATCACAGTGGTGATGGTGGTGCTGTGATGGGGGGGGGGGGCTTTTGCGTAGAGAAAGACACAGTTTGATGACGCAAACGAAACCATTCTAAAGGGATGACGCATTCAGCAGTGCATTCCTCCTGGTGGGGGGCAACGTGGCAACTCCGGGGCCCGTCATCCTCCGTAAGACCCCCTGCCTCCCTGAGCCCCCACCCTCCTCGGAGTCAGCTCTAGCCCAAGGCGCCCCTCTAAACCCCGCCCCCAGCAGATCACCTGCAGTGGGCTCTCCCGTCCCGACCCTCCGCTGCCCCTCCCCGACACGACACCCTCCCCTCGCCCGCGCCCCTTTTCCTCTTTACCGAGTCTGGCGCCCCCTCATGGACCCCCCCCTGCTTCTCTGACTCCTTGCTGAGCTGCCTCTCGGAGCCGAGCTGTCTCGCCCACGAGTCCCCATCACTCAAGCTAAAGCTCCTGAAAGCGCTTGGAGAACAGGGTGGGGCAGGGGATCGCAGCCCTCGCCAGGGCCCTCCTCCGGCCGGGCAGGGCGCCCATCGCACCCGCAGCACTTTGGCCGAGCGGCAGGTCTTGCCTGTCCGGCTCAGCGGCCCTGGCCCTCCGGCCCATGCTCCTGCCCGGCGCAGGGCAGGCCGCGGTGTGTGGCCAGGGTTTGGACGACAAGGTGTGTTCCCTTCTGCGCCGGGGGAAAAGGGCGAGGCCCAGCCCTATCACCCTGCGGGGATGACAGGAGTCCGGTCATGGAGGCTCCCGCCGGGATGGCGACCCACGTGCCTGAGCCCACGGCGGGCATGAATGGCCGAGTTGGTCCCATTTAGGGTCCAGCTTCAGCCGCTCACCAGCAGAGTGACCGTAGCACCACTGCACCCTCTGAGTCTGTCTCCCCTCCCTGTAAAGGTGTGGGGACACCTTTTGGGTGGACCAAACAGGGGCAGGGCCGTGGGAAGTTTGCACAGAGGGCCGGGGGGGCTCCTCTGGGGGGGCCAGCGGGGTCTGTGAAAGCTGCGCCGGCCTTGGCAGCTGCACCGTGGTCTGTTCTGCAAGCGAAGGGCCCCCCTGGCCAGATCCCACGCAGTCACACTCCGCCTTCCCCTCGTCTGCCGCAGGGAGCTTGGCGAGGGCCCGCCTTGCGGCCAGGACGCCGGCCGGGCGTGGCGCGCGTGGTGGCCGGAGCCTCCGCCCGCCGGGTCCAGCCGCCAGAGTCCAGCCTGGACTTCCCCTCCTCAAAGCGCAGCCTCCGGCAAGACCCGCGCGCAGGCGGGGCTGGAGGCCCTGCCTTCTGGGGGCCACCTGCTCAGGGCTCTGGCCAGACCAGAGGCGGTGAGGTCTCCTTCCCACCCCAAATCCGGGGGTGACTGGACGGGCCCCGACGCCCTTAGGCGGGCCCGGCAGGCGAGGGACCGGCGACCGGCGGGGGCTTGGGAACGCCCCGCAGGGCGGGGCCGGGGGCGGGGCCGGGACCGCCGGCCTCTGATTGGCTGTGCTGCCCTCCGCCCCGCCCCGCGCCCTATAAATGCCCCGGCGCGGCGCCGGCGTGGGGGCTGCGGCCGCTTCTCCGCGCGCGCCCTGTCCATCCTCCCCCGCGCGGGGGCGGCCCGCGGGCCCCGCAGACCGCGCGCTGCAGACCGCCGGGGGGGCGGGGGATGCCGGGCTGCCGCATCAGCGCCTGCGGCCCGGGGGCCCAGGAAGGCACGGCGGAACCCGGGTCCCCGCCGCCGCCGCCCCGGGGGCCCCTGCCCTCCCCCGCGCCCTCCCCCGAGCCGGCGCCGCCAACTCCGACCTCGACTCCCAGCCCCGCCCAGGCCTCGCCGCTGCCCGCGGCGGCCCCGGCGCCGGCGAGCTCGGCGGAGGGGCAGGAGCTGCAGCGCTGGCGCCCGGGCGCTAGCGGGGGCGCTGGGGGCGCGGGGCCGGCGGGCGGCGCCCCGGGGCCGGCGGGGGCGGGGGGCCGCGCGCTGGAGCTGGCGGAGGCGCGGCGGCGGCTGCTGGAGGTGGAGGGCCGCCGGCGCCTGGTGTCGGAGCTGGAGAGCCGCGTGCTGCAGCTGCACCGCGTCTTCCTGGCGGCCGAGCTGCGCCTGGCGCACCGCGCCGAGAGCCTGGGCCGCCTGGGCGGCGGCGTGGCGCAGGCCGAGCTGTACCTGGCGGCGCACGGCTCGCGCCTCAAGAAGGGCCAGCGCCGCGGCCGCCGCGCCCGCCCGCCCGCCTTGCTCGCCTCGGCGCTCGGCCTGGGTGGCTGCGTGCCCTGGGGCGCCGGGCGCCTGCGGCGCGGCCACGGCCCGGAGCCCGACTCCCCCTTCCGCCGGAGCCCACCCCGCGGCCCCGCCTCCCCGCAGCGCTGACCTCGGCCGCGGGTCCCCGGCCGCCCCCCCTCCCCGGGCCGTCGCCGAGGTGCCGACCGACGGATGGCGGACGCGGATGGACCGGCTGATCGCAGGGAGACGCGCTCGGGGGCCGGGGGGCCCCGTAAAGGAGGCTGAGGTGCGGTCTTCGTGGCGGGTGCGTCGGAGGGGTGCGGAGCGGGGTGGTGCGGGGTCCCTAATCTCCCTTCCCTGGGGCCCGGAGTCTTTTGCTGGGACCCTGCTAAAGCCCATTTCCACTGCGCCCTCTCCAGACTGCCCGGGAGCGAGGGGGCAGCATCAAGTCCCCATTATAAAGTTGGACAAATTGAGGGTGTTTAGATCCCAGGAGGTCCAGCGGCAAACTCTGGCCAGTGGAGCCTGCGGTGCTGACTCAGCACCTCCCCACCCGCTTGCTGCTTTTCGGGGTGGGGGGGTGTCTCGTGGCGCTGTAAGACGATGCTTGCCCTTGAGGCTCTGCTGTCTGCCGCCAGGCTCCATACCTGCTGCGGACGGAATGCGGGTGCAGGATGGGTGGCTGCTGGCACAGTAAGTGCCACTGGATTCTTCGGAGATCCCTTTCCCCATTTAGGGAGGTGGAATCTCGGAGAGGTTGAGGATTTGTTCCAGTTTGGTCCCTCCTAGGGCACAGATCTTTCTCGTGACCGCAGGCAGCTTTACTAGTTCAGCCTGATTCAGATAAGCAGGGGGGGTGTTTGGCGGCTGTCAGGCCTTACCTGCTCTCCTAGGGCCAGCCCCTCCCAACCTCTGAGATGGCCCTGCCAGGGATGGAGCCAGGTGACATCCTTTAACAGGCCCCAAGGGGGCAGGTATGTAATCGACTTCTAGAGAGGGGGGCCTTAAAGGGCCAGATCTGAAATGAGATCTGCTGGCTGGGTTCACTGCAGCCTCACTGGCAGTCTGGGAAGGTGGGGGGTGCTTCACCTCCAGGGAGCACTTTGCTGAGGTTGACAGAGCAAGAGTCCTTTCTCTATAAGTCACAGAAGATTGTTTTACTCTCTTAAGTCACACCTAGAAACAGCCACTGCTTTTGCTGGTGAGTTCTAGTCCTTAGTTCCGCGTGGCAAGGTCACATGCCATTGAGGGACAGAACTAGGCCTCTGGCCTATGTGTGTCCCAGGACACCGTGTGTCCTTCCCTGCCCAAAGGCAGGGGCTAGAGAGGGTGTCGGCCATCTGCTGTGTGCCCTAGAACAACTCTGTCCCCTCCATGGGCCAGCGGCCTCAGTCCCTCTCTGAACACAACTGTCCCTCCCCAGGGTGGGCTTGGGGTGGGGAGAAGGGGGTGAGAATGGCAGTCATGGGAATCTGGTTTAATCCTACAATCCTGCTCTACCCTGAAAGGCAGAGCCAGGGGCTTTCCCCTGAGCCGTGTCCCACCGCCTTTCCTCTCCCTCTGGGCCAAGATTTGGGACTGGCTGCTCAGTGAACACCTGGCCTTCCTCAACCCATTCTTTGCTGGGAAAGAGAAGTCCAGGAGGACATCTCAGAGTGAGAGAACACGGGCACCGGAGGAGCAGTGGAGACCCCTGGCATCCTCTAGCCTTCCCAGGGAGGGAGAGGCTGCTGAAGCCACTTGGGTCATTTGCGGTCTAGAGGCCCAGAGGGGACAAGGGCTTCCTGGAGGTGCAGTGAGGCGCTCTGGCTGCAGTGCTGGACAGCCGCCAGGGCTGTTTGTTTTCTGGGTTGCACAGGGGAAGCGCACTTGGTCCAGAGAAGCTTTTAGCTAATGGTGTAAAGTGCTTCCTGCCATCGCAGCCTTGCCTTTCTCTGGGATTTATTGGTAATCAGCTCTGTCCTGGTTTGGAGGGGCGTGGTAGGGACTTAGAGATGGCTTTTGCTGGAGACGGTGCTGTGTGCATCTATGTTGGGGGGAATGGAGATGGTCCTGGTGTCCTCGGGGGGCAGGTCTGTCCCCTCCCTCCACTTCCAGATGTCCCACTGCTTCTCACCAAGGCCTTAGGCCAGGCCACGCGACACTTGGTGACTTGAACCCCAGTCCCTGGCTCAAGTTCTGCCCACTTCTGTCAGCCCAGTAGTGAAAGCCCCCTCCCCAGACCTGCCTGGCCCACCCCAGGCCCTCTCCAGGACGCTGTATTTGCTCCAGTTAGCCAGCATTGCTGACTGCAGTCCTGGGGCTCAATAACATCCCTGAGCAGAGGGTTTCTGCTTTTGAGGGCTGTATCTTGCAGCCCTTCTCCGGGCAGTCTCCCCTGGCGGTCACCAACACAGGGGACCCTCTGGGGAGGACTGTTTAAGACAAATAACTAGCACCTGGGAAAGAGACACACTTGCTTGATGGACCCATCCCAAGGAACTGGGCAGAGTATAGGGGATCTCGAGAACATGGGTGGTCAGTAGTGAATTTGGGGCCTCAGAAATGGAAAATGAGAGGATCTGAGACTTGGGAGGCGAGTTGGGGTTTCTAGTCAGGGGCTTGTGGGAGCTCCCCTGTGCCTCTCTGGCTGGTCCCGGCCTTGGGAGGGCTTCTCTGAGTGCTGCCACCAGAGGGCGGTGTGGGGCCATGTCCCGGGTTTGGGGGTGTGGCCTGGAGCTGGTTCAGTTCCCTAGTGTCCCTGGCCCCAACCAGCCTCTTGCACGGTAGGGTGCAGGGTGGCATAGGCTTCCTGGACCTTGAGCTTTACGGGTCCAGCGGTAGTGGTCACTTAGAGGAGTGTAGAGAGACCCTTTGGTTGGGGAGGGCCCTGAATCTCTGGGAAAAGGTCCATCAGGAAAGACATTCCTGGAAAGTGGTTGCTTCTGTTATCTTCAGTTCATGCCTCACAGATTTCTAACAGTGATAATTTAACAGAACGCCCTGTCCTGGGAACCAAGGTGGTCTGATGGTGAGATGCTGCAGGCCTGCAGCGCACGGTCTGTACAGGCCCACCTCCCAGAGGAAAACCCGCTACCCTGGCTTCTGGTAGCTGAAGGAGGGGCTCTTGGCTTTGTAGTCAGGGCAGGGGAATAGGTGTTTGAGAAAGCTGTGAGATCCCCAGCCTATATATCTTTTTTGAGCATTTATGCATACAAGAACTGGGGTGTGGGCCAGAGGTGCCGGGGGTGAGAGGATTCACCAGAGACAGAGTGGGGAACAGAACAAGCAGATCCACTGAAATCCACTGCTGAGGGGAGCAGCGGGTGAGTCAGGAGAGGCCTGCTGCACCATCCCTGGCAGGGGGAGCAAACCTGTGCCACAGTGGCTGGCAATAGCCCTGGGACTTAACCCCTGCGCCACCAGGGTGGCCCTCCCCAACCTATTTCTTATACACCCTGACCAGGAGTGATAGGGGGAGAGAATCAGTGGCTCTGGAATAATATACGAGCCACCTCCTCTATACCAGGCACTGGACTAAATAAACACTTTACATCCATAATCTGTTTCAGTGCTCCCAGCTGCTCTGCACAGCCAGCGTTAGTATCCCCATGCCCAGGGATGAGGAAAGCGAGGGTCAGGGAGGGCAGGGATCCTGCCCAAGGACATAGAACCAGCCAGAGGGGATCTCGTAGACTTTAGACTATGTATGTAGCTTTTCATTCATCGGGCTAATGAGGCTCCATGTGCTGGTATTTCTGGGCTCTCATCTTTAAGTCTAGGTACAGTGACTCCTGGTTGGTTGTTAGTTCTGGGGAGGGATGTAATGAGATGCTGGAGGGATAGCACCCCAAAATGTCGGCACAACCCCAGGGGCTGGCTCCCCATCTGGGTTGTCTGGGCTCTTGGGGATGAGTCAGGCTGAGTCAGCACACCTGGCCTTGTAAGGGCAGTCCAAGGCGGCTTCGGGCCTGGGCTTGCTCTAGAGGGCTGCCTCCCCTCCCTGCACCCCTGAGCTGGCCTGCTTGGGGTGGCGGAGGAGGAGGGTGGCAGGCTCTGTCATGGGGCAGCAAGTGCCCCAGGTTTGGAGACTCCTGGGACTCAGTTCTGGCCTGGACTTCTTAGCCGAGAGAGGGGGGCAAACGGCTTCCTTTCTCTGAGCCAATTCTTGTATTAAGGGAGCTAGGCGGGAGGTAACTTCCGAATAGTAAATGTGAAGTCACACTAAGTACCGAGCACCTAGTGCAGACTTCTCATGTTTCTGGGAGGGACTGCTGGGACAGAGCCCCCAGCGAGGGGCCTTCCCTTCTCCTCCAAAGCATCACCATATCAGGAGTCCCAGAACCCGTCCCTCTTCTCCCCCTGCCCTAGGCCCTGGGGCGCCCCATAAGGAGAGAGGTGGAGGAGGGGACTGGCCTTTCATCCCAGGAACATTCCATTCCAGCTGCTCAGACCAGTGGGGATCCCAGCCAAGCACCGAGGCCCCAGGGAACCTCTGGCTCCCCCGAGAGCCGCCACCCCCTCCAAGGCCCCTCTTAAGGAGGGAGATATTGAAGAGTTGGGTGGGGCTGGGCGGCTGCGGGAAGGAGGTGATTAAAGCTCTTGAAATGATCCTTTCCAGCTTCTCCTCTCCGGCTTCTGGAGCCTCTACCCGGACCTGCGCTCCTGGATTCTTCCCTGGGTTCCCCTTTCAGGAAGATTTCTGCAGTCGCCCCTGCACCAACTGGGCGCTCTCCTCACTTCCCAGGAGCCCCTGGCTTTACAGGGGCAGGGGCCTGGATTCTGGGGGAGCTGCCTGTACTATGAATTTCTTCCTATGTGTCACATTGGACTTTGGCTCTCAAGTGCGGTGTCACAGCAGGTTCTGAGACGGTCAGATCATCTAGGGGTGCAGCCTACTTTGCCGACGTGAAAACAAAGGATTTCTTCTAAAAATGTAGCCATCATTCTTACACGATCACAGCATCATCAGGCGCCCCCATTTGGTAGCCGGATCCCCTCAGTCTGACAGCGCTGGGAGTCCTCTTTGAGGGCAAAACGCTGGTCTGAGAAATCCCTCGTGTCCCTCGCGCGCTGTCCTTGCCGTCTGTGTGGGAGCGCGCCTGTGGCCTCTCCGGAAGATGACCAGCTTTTGGGGGGACCCCTTTCTTGAGAAGAGGTGGTGGCAACATAGTCTAAGCTAAGTTTTCAATGAAAAAAGGATGCACATTTATTCAACTATCCTGACGCTAGAGGGAAGGGGGCACATTTACTCACGCAGCCCAGAACTTGTAGAATTCCGCAAAACGAACGTGCACTGAGTCAGTCCCCGGATTGTACATTCAGGAGGAATAAATTTCAGCAACGTGAGATACTTGTGTGCGGCTCTGAGGTTTACTTTGCAGGTGTCCTCGCTGCCCTTCCTTGGTGTCTGTCAGACTCTTAAGTTGCCAGTTCCTTGAGCAGTTTTCTTTGGCACTGCGGGCCTGTTGACCGATTTTCAGGCTGATTTCTCCCTTCACCTGGTTCCAAGCCCACCCTCTCCAGGAAGTCCTCCTGATTCAGGATGTGATAAGGAAGCTAGGGGATGGGATTGGATGACACCCCCAAGGAGGTGGTGAGCTCGTTATGACAACTGATCCCTGGAGGAAGGTTGGGGACTACGCCGACACTGTCCACCGTGTGCAGGGGCCTGTTTGTCAGTCCGGGCCCTGGCAGGAGACAGGACACACTGGGAAGTTTCAGAAAGGGGCTGTTTCCAAAGCTGTGGGCTGGGCTGCAGAAACTAACAAGAGGTGTTCCGTTCTAGGGGCTCGCCACAGTGAGGAGCTTTTACAACGAGCAGGGCTGGTGACTCGGAGTTCAGAGTGCAGTGGAGGGGCCCCCTGACGCATCCGTGGCCTCTGAGACATGTAGCCAACCATGGCAACCTGGTGGGGAGGGAGCAGGGGAATAAACACCCCATTCTCCTCTCTCCAACCTTCTGGGGACTCTCATTGGCCTAACCCAACAGGGAAGGCAGGGAACAAGGGTGCTATTGATGCCCAGTCCATGAAAGTCAGCCACTCCAGGGCACAGGGCTGGGAGAAGGGTGGAGAGTGGGATGGGAGTGGACAACCCAGGGGTGCATCTTGTTCCCAGAAGATCAGAGCAATGCATCTTCCCTCTCGGCTCCCCCACCCGTAAGGGTGGGACTGGGGCTTTCCTCCCTTAGCCTTCCCCTGTCTGGCTCGGATTCCCAGTTCTTGATTCCTGCCTCGCTAGCCCTCTCAGATGGCTGCGGGAATTATCCAGCAGAGGAACAATGCCAGCCACTGAGTGTTTCTCTCACGCCCGGAAACCCTGCACCCCCTCCCACACGCCCACAGGCATGCCTGCTGCCACAGGCCTCTGGCACGGTCCCCACAAGCCATGGCTTTCCTGACGTGTGCGCGTCAAGAAAATGTACATCTTGGCACCCTGCCCGATGCTGCCATGGCCATACCCAGTGGCAAATGTCACAAGACGACAAGTTGTCACCTGCCCCGTCACACATGTACAGGACGGTCGAGTGTCATCCATGTGAAGTCAGTGACCGTGTAGGGGCAGGATGGTGCGGGGCTAACAGCAACGGTTCTGGACTCAGACAAACCTCTGACTTTCCTGGCTTCTGTTTCCTTGTCTAAAATATCTTGCTCCAAATGAAAAATGATGTAAGAATTATATAAAATATTAAAAAATTTTGCTCTTCCTGGCAGGTGAGGATGAAATGAGACATGCAGATAGGGAAGCACTTAGCGCCTGGCCTAGAGCAGAGCACTCCGGAAATGGTTACTGTCTTGGAAATCCTTGCCCCCAGTCTCCACCTCTGCTGCCCGTGGGTGCTGGCTGCAGCACCCGTGCCCGGCAAGACGCCTCCCCTCTGCCAGATGCTTTGTCCTCAGACACCCACGTGCCTCGCTTTCCTTGCCTTGCAGTCTTGGTTCCAGTGTTGCCCTTTCAATGAAGTCCACCCTGACGTCCTGCAATCTCCAGCACTTAGACTCCTTTGCTACACCTTTTTCAGCATTGCTGACCTAAGAGCTATCTGGTTGATTTTTTCTCTGTCCCACTAGAATGTAATCTTCATGAGGACAGCTGTCTTGGTCTTCTGTTTGCTGGTGTCTCCCCAGCTCTTAGAGGGGCAGCTGGCACAGGCTGAGGCAGCGTGTACACATGTCCCACACAGGCCTCTGACATTCGTACCCTCTAAACACTCACCTTCAGGTGAACCCCACTCCTCACCCAACCAGCTAAGCCTGTGTGCTTATGTGGTGAGCACTGCGTCATGTCTGAATCAGGAGCTGGGACAAGCTTAGTTCCTTTCCAGAACCCTAGGTGGGTGTGCACGGCCTGGGTGGTCTGTGTTAGGTCATCAGGCAAAGATAAGCCTTTCTACTTACCTTCTGGTCACTTTGAAGCCAGCAGCAGTAGCGGCTGGGACACCCACAGGGACCCACTGAGCAGGTAAGGTGGTAGGACTCACCTGGCGACCTGGGGCCTCCTCTGCGGCCTTGTTTTTTCCACCCTGGCTGGACCCATCAAAGCTACCACTTCAGAGGCCCCTAATGAGGATGAATATGTTAAGGGCTATGCAATCCTTGGATCAAAGAGGCTGGGTAAACAGTGGGCAGCGTCCAAGACCATGACTGGCTGATGCCCGGAGGGAACAGCTCCCTGACATTCACTCCCAGACAGCTGGCATGCCCTCCCCCCGGCCGGGCTGGGAAAGGAGACCCTTTGGCCCTCTAGGGAACCTGCTCAGAACAAGCCAGTGTGCCCTCAGCACTTGGTGGTGAGGGAGGGAGGCCCTCCCGGACCCCTGCCTGGAGGGGTCTCCAGCCCAGCTTGTTCTGTACCTGCTTCCTGAGAATGCGTGGGGTACGCTGGGCAGAGCTGGGGGTCAAGCAGCCCTGAGCATTGAAATGTGAGGCTAAGTACACAGTCATTAGGATTCCAGGTTAAAAAAAAGTTGACATACTCTTTAACCAGGGACGCGACGTGCAGGTGTGAGTCACACGTGTGCACCTGAGCTCTTAGCACAATTTCAGGCTGGGACTGACAGTGAGGGAAGGAGAGGGATTTCCCCCAGCCACAGTCAAGGACTCAGACCTCCTCTCCCCAACCCCCGCAGCCAGAACCCCCCTCCCATAGTGCAAGCCACACTCAGGCTGGGGAGGCAGCCGGCTGCCACGGCAGGGAAGGTCCTCCAGGGAGAAAACTTGGTGCTCGACTCAGTGTGGACAATCTTTATTGGCAGGTGCTAAGAGTGCAAAATAGTAACAAATCTAGGACGGAAAAGGAGACGGGTCAGGGCTCCCCTGGTCCAAGTGAGGTCCCATATCAGGCCTGCATCCCCTGAAGAGCAAGCTTTCCGGCAGCAGGAAGCAACACACAGGGAGGCGCATGGTCCGGAACCTGCCCCAGGCTGCTTGGCTCCTGCCCTTGCTGGTCGGACAGCTCCGAGTAGGGAGTCAGGGACTGAATTCAACTTTTCTCTCTCCCAGTCCTGGTAGCGGCGTCATACCTCAGTTTCCCTCTTCTCAGTGATTAGCCAGGTCAGACCAACCAGACTGAAAGTGGGTAGCTCCCTTAACAAACCACACCTTAGCGGCTGTGTGGCCTGCAGGCCCCCAGAGCGGCTGGGATCACTACAGGTTGGTCCTAGCCAAAAAGAGCCTTTTCAGGCCACAGGAATCAACCAAGACCATAGGCATGGAGGCTACCACCCCAAAATGCTTTACCTCCTGAAGGCAACTGACCCTCAAGAGAAATAGCCCCTGCCCCCCGCCCCCCCAATCATGCTAGTCCAAATGTGTGAAGGGTCCATCTGTCAGGAACCCAGTTCGGCCTTGAGCCCGCAGGGCTCTCACTCAGGGTCTGAGTCAGAGGCCCAGCTCGCGGCATGCTGGGCCACCCCGCACAGGCTGCTGTCTCCTGTCAAGACCTCCACAGGCTCTGGGGCGGCCCAGCCCCTACTGGCCAGGGTCCGAGTCAGTTGCACGGCAGCCAGGTGGGGTAGGCGGAGTGGGCCCGGGCCAGCAGAGGCTGCACGGGGGTCACGTAGTAACTGACCGTGGCAGGCACCACCCCGTCGGGCGGGCGCCAGGCTAGGGCGGCGGTGGCGGCCGGGCCCTGCTCGGCCAGCGCCTGGAGCGCCAGCGCGGCGATGAGGTCCAGGGTCTGGCGGCGCTCGTGGTTCATGAGGCACACGGTGCTCTCGTTGACCACCCGGTGCAGCGTCACGAGGCAGGCGTAGCGGCGGGCGGCGTCGGCCCCGCTGAAGTGGGCCTCCAGGTAGCGCTCCAGCGTGCGCCGCTGCTCCGCCAGGTCCGGGAAGTCGATGAAGAAGCGCGAGCACATGTAGCGCTGCAGGGCGCTCACGTCGGTGCCCGCGCGCGGCCGGAAGCCCCGCACGAGCAGGTGGCAGTACTTGAGCAGACCCCCGCCCCGGATCTCCTCGGGGCTGCGCGTGGCGATGACTCGGTGGCGCAGGTGCTGCAGGGCCTCGTGGAAGTCCCCGTACAGGCTCTCGCCGATCACGGAGGGGTGGAAGGTCTCGGACATGGGCGTGGACGAGCAGTGGTTAAAGAGCAGCAGGGAGTCCAGCAGGATCTGGAAGGAGTCTACGCTGAACTCGAACTGGCGCCTGACCGAGTCCACAAACTTGAGCTCCACGTTCTTGCCGCTCTTGTTGGACAGCGAGATGAGGCTCCAGCGGTCAGTGTCCGTGCACACTTTGACCAGCTTCTGCACATAGGCCTCCTTGAGCGTCAGCGGCGTGATCTTGGCCCGCCTCACCCCGGCGGGCAGGAAGTCCAGCAGACAGGCCAGCACCACCTCCTTGATCAGCTGGAAGGACGCCTCGCTGCGCAGGTCCACCCGGAACACCAGATCCAGGTCCTTGTAGCCCAGGCCACTCTCGGGGTGCAGCACGTGGCTGGCAGCTGAGCCGTGCAGCCGCACCCCGTGCACTTGGAGTCCCTGCTCCTCCAGGCTGCTGCGGACCACCTGCGGGCGGGAGGGAGAGGGGTCAGCAGTCTGGGTCCCGGGTGGCCCGCCCTTCCGTGGAAGAGTCACGGTGGTCATTATGATTGAGGGTGTTGAGGGGACGGCTTTGGACCACTTCCTGGCTGTTGAGGATAAGTAAGGACTTTCGAAAGTCACTTAATTCTGTAAAGAAGCCTCATCCCCTAATCTGGAGAATGGCCCTTGTGGAGGAATGACTCAAAGGATCAGCAATGACCATAGCAGGGGCCTTCCTGGTGGCGCAGGGCTTAAAGACAGCGCTAGCAAGCTGCTGGCAGCCACTGCAGCACCAGTTCGATCCCGGCCTGCCAGGGAGCTACCCACATGGCGCAACAGACCTCTCCTCTCTCGCCTGCTGCTCCCCTCAGCAGTGTACTTCAGTCAGTCTGCCTGTTCTGTTCCCCACTCTGTCTCTGGTGAATCCTCTCACCCCCCACACCTCTGGCCTGTACCCCAGATCTTGTATGCATAAATAAGATAAATCTTAAAACAAACAAACAAACACGATAGTAAACACACACACACACACAAAGAATTCACTAAAGGCCAGGCCCTGAAGCAAGCACTGGAGACATTAAGATATAAACTCACATAATTCTCACAATAACCCTATGAGGCTAAGTTCTATTGGTCCCACTTTACAGATGGGGAAATAGAAGTGGAGAAGGGCCAGCTGACTAGCCCAAGGTCACACTGCTGGTAAATGTAGAGAATTGAACCCAGACAGGGTCCATGTCTTTACTACTAGGCTCTTCCACCTCTCAAAATCTGTAAGTGAGACAGTCTGTGCCAGGCGTGATGCTTAGTGTGTTGGGAATGGAACTGGCTGTTCACATGCATTCCACGCTAACCTTCACAGTCACCCTGTGCTGAGTACCATCATCTAATTTAAACACAGGGGACTTGAGGCACACAGAGGTTAGGACACATGTCCAAGGTCAGAGGGCAGCAAGACTGTGAGCAGAACCAAGTCAGCTGGATTCTCAAGTCTACGCACGCTCTTTTGACTAGGCATGACACATTCCTCTTCATTCATCTTTGCAATTACCCGGGGAGGAAAATATCAATCATTTTACAAAGGAGGAAACTGGGGTTTACAGTGGGAAAACACCCAGGTTTCAGGGGGGAAGACATTCGGAAACAGCAGGGCTGCACATTAAACCCAGACCCTTTCTGCTGGGGTGAGGGAGGAGCCGGGATGCCAGGACGCCTCCCAAGCCAAGTGGGAAGAGATGTGGCAGATTCCATCTGACGACACAGGCAAAGTGGCAGCAAGCCTGTAAGTTATCTGGAACTTGTTCCCTTAGCCAGAGGCATCTTCCTGTGCCCAGGACACTCCGGGGTGAGAAGAAGTGAGGAGCTGGGCTGGACACTTGGTTTTTCCAGCCAGCCTGGTGCTCCCCACACCATCCCTGAAAGTGCCCAGGCAGCATTCCTCCCCCTGGGTGATTCTGCAGCCCCGCCTCGCTGCCAAGTCAGCGCCCTGCCAGGCTGCCCTCCTCGCCTGCTGGGGAATTACTGCAAAGAATGCACCCAAGTGCTGAGGAGGCAAGCCGCAGTGGGGCAATCTGAGGCGGGCGGCTCCCTCAAGGAAGGCTTCCTGGAGGAGGCTCCTGACTAGGGGAAGATAGGGTCTGGCTAACAGGGGGAAAGCAACTGGCCATCAGGAACAAGGGGACTGTTAGGGGGGAGAGGAATTTTGGTCAGGCACCTCTTAGGACCGTCTCACCGGACTCTATGGTGGCTACCTCTTTATGATCTCCAAGTTACAGAAGGGGAAACTGAGGCTCACAAGGCCAATAAGTGGGCAGGCTTAGTAAGAACCAAGTCTTCCAGAACCATGGGCTGGGGGGCCGCCTACAGGAGACTGGGTCCCTGTGGCCCAGAAAGGAGAATCAACAGCCTCTCTAGCAGCTTAGATGTGTGGGGGTACAGAGGGACAGCGTTTCAGATCTAGGTATGGCTGACTCCAAAATCTCTTTTCTTTCTACCATATTATTGTCCCAGGGTAATGTCGCAGAGACAAGAAATCAAGGTTTTAATCCTCTCTCCTTGTACAGTTTCAGTCAGTGACACCCAGAACGGGAGTAGTTGGAGAACTGAAGGTGGCGGTTAGGGGACGCCTTGGCCAGACAGACAGGGGAGGTGCTAGGTGAGGGGCCAGTTGCTTCAGTGCAGCCTCTGGGACTTCTAACCCACACCCTGAACAGCTGCGCTGGTCCTGGGTAGCTCAGGAGAGAAGTGAGCCCAAGACCTTGTCCCTAGGACCCTGCCAGACCTGCGGAGCAGACTAACCCCCTCTCCGAGTCCCATTAGAGCTGATGGATCCTTACTCAGTGCCCACCCCAGGGCATGGCATCTGGCTTGGTGAGTAGGAATCAGTACCCTCATTAAACTGCCTGCGTCAGGCCATAGGACCAGCTGTGTCAGGCAGCCAGAGGCTGTTGTCTCTTTCCCAGGTATGACTACAGCCAGCTTGGCAGGCAGTCCCCAGATACTGCCACACCCAAGGACTGCAGAGCCACTTGGTGCCTCCTGAATCAGACTTTCCAGCCACGGAGGGGGCAGTGGCTGTACCCCTGTGTTAAGGTCCCTCCCCAGAACCATTCTGCTCCAGGCTGCTGCTGAGACCTGCAGGGAGACTGTGGGTGCAGCCAGTGACACTGGCTGCCGCTGGAGAGACCACATCGCCTGATTCAATTCTCTGGATGCAGAGAAAGCAAAGGACTTGTCCAGGATCACATAGCCACTAAGTGGCCAGGCTTAGTAAGAACCACGTCTTCCGGAACCATGGGCTGGGGAGCCACCTGTAGGAGACTAGGTCCCTCTGGCCCAGAAACAAGAGCTAACAGCATCTCTAGCAGCTTAGATCTGTGGGGGTAAAGGAGAACATTTCCAATTCTTGAATTATGGGACAACTCTGCACAGGCAAAAGGCCCAAAGTTAACAGCCAGTGTCCCAGCAGCTTCCATCTCTGCCCCCCAACACACACACACACACACACACACACACACACACATAAGCACACTCACACACACAGCCCAAAGCCTGTGAAGCTGCCTGCTGCAGATCCTGCCAGGGGACAGACTTTCTTCCCTGTGCAGACAACTGTCTAGGCCAGGTGAAGATACATGTTTCCTTTAGATTCTAGAACTAGAAAGGGGTTAGAGAGCAGTCTATTGAACAGATGGGGACCCTGGACCCATCAAATGGCATTGACAACAGGCCCTAAAGCGAGATGTCCCACTTCCCAGTCCAACTCTGGAGCTTCTGCTGCCCCTCATACCCCCCACCCTCACTATCCATGGCTTTCAGTTCTGGATTATCTCTGACCCTAGTCTAGAGGGACATTGTACTACTGGTAAATTATAAAGTCAGTTCCTATCGACAGGCAGTCTCCCTGCTGGCTGGAAGCACCTGGAAGGCAGGGGGACGAAATGTCACATCTGTGCCCCTAGTGTCCTGAGCAGGGCTTGGCCCAGGGGGGCAAGAAAGGCAGTTTGGACCCTACTGACGGGCAGGAACTTCCCTTCCAGGGCACCCCTTGTACCTGCACAGGGGACTCTCCCACTGGTCCCCCCCACCCCTTTGACCATGCCAGGAACCACAGTCTTGGAGGTACAGCAAGTGGAGCCCTGAGGTTGACATGACTGTCTTGGGGAGAAAAGCCTCAACTGGCTTCCTAATTACTACATGACAGCAGCAGGCCAGGAATGCCTCATGGAGCAGTACTGGGGCTGTGGGTGAGTCAGCGCTAGAGAATCTGCCCCCACCTCCTCCCATTCCTTGGAAGGAAGGGCCAGATAATCCCCCAGCAAGCACCCCTCCCCGCTGTGTGGAAGCTGGAAGAGAAGGCAGCAGGAGGCAGGAGAGTGCCTGCTGCATATAGCTGGGCTGGCCCCTTCCCAGAAAGGCCATCAGCAGGTGGGAAGGCACAGGGGTTGTGACTGAATTTTCTGCTTCTTCTATCAGAGGATTCCCTTAAGAACTAGTAGCTGAGTCTTGGGAGCTGGGTAAGGGGTGGGGAACCTTGAACCTGCAGCAGCACGCTCCTGCAGACCCAAGATTTTCTAGGTTTGATTTTTACCTCTCAGACAGCCCACAGTCCCTGTCGGGGCCTCGACTTTCCCAGCTATAATACGGGTACAGTAAATGCCATATTCTAGTATTTCAGACAGTGCCTGGATTACACTCGTGAAAGAGTAATTTTAGGGTGGCTGAGGGCCAGGTAAAGGGAAAGAGTCTGAGAAGGGGAGAGGCTGCCAGAACTCCTTTGTTTTCGAAGTAGAGAGAGATGGGGCTTGGAGCCTGAGACCTGGCTGGCCCTCATTTCCAGTCTCCGGGAGAAAAACACCTAAACTGGACACCGATGTTGCCCTCTGGGGTGCAAGCATGAGCTCTGGCCTGGGGCTTCATGAATCTCCTCCCAGCTGAGAGGGAAGGAATCTTGCCAGGATTTCTCTGAATTTCCATTTTGGACCCAAACATGCGCACCTACCCATCCAGGGCTGCCTGGCATCTTTAGTTCTCACAGGCAGCCAGTTCTGTCCCTCCCCCCAGTGGTCGGAGGGGGTGGAATCAGGGTCCCCCAGGGGCGAGGGATGGGAAAACCCAGTGGAGCGGGATACTGCAGTGCAGGGAGCAGGGGCTCTGCTCTTCCTCCTCGAGTAGAGGAACGCACGTCGATGTGCGTGCGCCTTCGGGGCGTGCCATTCCCGAGCCCCGTCGTCCCTAGCTGTCCAGCAAATCGAACAGAATACGAGCGCCTTCCAGCCAGAAGCTCAGAGTACAAGGGCCCTGTACCCGCGCCAGGCGCTTTCTCACCTGCACGATTTGCCGGGGCTGCACGCTTAGGGTGGGGAAGTTGCCGCGCCCGTGAATGGGAATGGGCTCGCTCAGGAGCGCGTCCAGCCGCTTCACCTGTGGCCATCCCAGCCTACTGAGGTGCCGTCCGGGGGATGCCGATGCGGCCTCTGGGTCGGGGCCGCCGCCGGCCGGGGCCGCCGTGGCCCCCGCCGAGGCTGCCGCGCTCCCCATCTGCACAGCCGCGCGGTCCGGCCTCTCCGCTCCGCTCTCCGACGGCATCATTGGCCTGGCCCCGGGGCCCCGACGGCAGAAACCGGGGGGTGGGTAGGGGAAAGAGGGCAGGGAGAGCGCCGGGGCTGGGGCCGAGGCGCGGGGCACGGCTGCAGCGACGGGGCGGCAGCTACGGCTCGGCGGACCCAGGGCGCGCCTCCGCCCGCGACGACCGGCCGACCCCAGAGCCGGGCGCCGCGGGCCCGGGGGACTCTTATAGGCCGCGGGCGACTTGCCCATTGGTCTCGGCGGCTGTCACGCAGCGGGAGCCCGCCCGACGCGCCTGTCATTGGTCAGTAGAGTCATGAACGTGCAACACGGGTCGCCGGAGAAGTTCTGATTGGCTGAGGGGCGCGCCCCTGCCCCGCCCACCTCCTTAGACGGAATTCCCTCCCGGGCCCTTCAAAGAGCCGCTCTTCTCCGTGACCCGCGCGGGCCGAGGCCGCGCACCTCTAGGGCCGGCGCCCCCCGGAGGGAGGACGGAAGGAAACAACCTGCACTTTGTAGCGGAGTCGGCCCGCGAAGCAGGTGTAGGATCCCCCCTCTTCTTTTGGCCCCGAAGATCACGAGGCTCGCCCGGCCTCCGGCTCTTTCCAGAAGCCCCAGAGCTCGCGCCCCTGCTCCAGCCCACGCGGCCGCCCGCTCGCGCCCGGCGGTCTCCCGAGGACGGTACGAACTCCGTGCGCACCGCAGGGAACGCGTTCCAGGGCGCCCCTCCGTCGGCCGCGGCGGGGTACAGCCTGGCCAGCGCCGATGTTCCCGTTTGGGGCGGGGAGCGTGACGCCCTCGAGGTCCCACGGCGGGAGAGCTGCGTGCGGGCCCCGGGGCCGAACTTGGCCCGTGGGTCTGTCACGCGATTTCTTCCGCTGCGCTTGCTCGGGCCCGGGGTCCTTATGAGGCCGGGGGAGGGATGGAGGGGTGGCCACAGGCAGGACTGGCCTCCAGAACAAGGACAGGATGAAAGGAACCTAGATCTGGAGAATGTAGACCCCGGCGTCGGGGGCCCTTCCGCAGCCCCTGGGGGGCCTGGGGGGTTCGGGTGGGGGCTTCGTGCGCATCTGTCCTGAGTCTCTCCTGCCAGTCTCTGCTCAGGGCCTGTGTGCCCTCAGGCAATCACTGGATCTCTCTGAGCTGGTTTCCTCACCTCCCCAGAAGATGCTCAATAAATATTTTAAAAATTTGATTTGATTATTCATAATTTGCAAAATATTTTTGTTTTTTTAAAATATGTTTACATATTTTTTTCTCTTTTACTTTACAGAACCAGAGGGTGAAGCCTACTGGCTTTTTGTTTTTTGTTTTTGCTGATTTTAAATTAATGTGCTTGTGGCAAAATTTTAGAAATGGAGTCTGATTCATTACTGCAATATTTTATCTTAAATAGCATTCTCCTAACTAGATATCAAATTGGGCTTCATTCTCTTACCCCCCTTCCCCCAGGTAGGCTGGGCCAGGAGTAATATGCCCAACGTGCAGAAGGGGAAACCAAGACTTAGAAGTGGTAAATTACATTCCAAGGTCACGGCTTGCTTCTGACAGAGCCAGGACTCACTCTCAGACCAGAAGTCACTTCCTCTTTCTGGAGGCCAAATCAAGCACAATCCTGTCCTTATTCTGAAGGCCAACCCTGCCAGTGTGCCATCCCTCCATCTTGTCTGGGGCTGTGGGTTTCCTCTGGCCCCTGGGGAGCAGAAAAGCTGCGCACTCCACTGCCTGGCTGTGTGACTTTGGGCAAGTCCCTTGCACTGCCCTTGCACAGTTGCACTGTGAAAGATAAGAAATAGATAAGAAATGTCCTTTGGGTTAGGCAGAATCTCCAAACTCTTTACCTACTACCTCCATGCCCCAGCAGAGGGTGGAAAAAAAGGGAAACCAACATTTTCTGAATACCTGCTTTGCACCAGATTACTTTACATGCATGACCTCTAACTCCTAAAAATATACATCAAGATGTGAGATCATTATCTTCAATTTATAGATGAAGGTCAAGTGATATGCCTACAGTCATACAATCACTAATTGGCAGCATGGGACTCGATACACATCCCTGACTCCAGAGCCTGATTTTTCAGCTGCTCTTCTTAGAAGAGTTGGATCAGATCAGCGAGTCATCTCTGGCATTGCCCTGGCACCATCTGTAAGACCCAGTCACTCTTCAATTAACACACAGATACCAAGTACCTGTAGTGTGTACAGGTGCTGGGTTAGGCCCTGAGAGAGGATAGGCAAGGTTCCTGCCCTTTTTTTTTTTTCTAAAGATTTATTTATTTATGCATACAAGAGCTGGGGTACAGGCTAGAGATGTAGGGGAGGGGGCGGTGAGCGGATTCACCAGAGACAGAGCGGGGAGCAGAACAGGCAGACTGACTGAAATACACTGCTGAGGGCAGCAGCGGGAGAGACAGGAAAGGTCTGCTGCGCCATGTGGGTTTCTCTCTGGCCAGCTGGGGATCGAACTCGTGCTGCAGAGACTGCAGATTGCTTCATAGTGCGGTGCTTAACCCCTTTCGCCACCAGGGAGGCCCAAGGTTCCTATCCTTCTAAAACTGACATTCTAGTGTAGGAAGACAGTGGTCAAGTAAGAAAATAAGTCATTTCAGATAGTGTTAAGAAGAAAATCAAACAGGGTAATGAGAGAACGTGCAGTGTGTGTGTGTGTGTGTGTGTGAATTTGTGTGGGCGGGGCATGGGGACTGGAGAGATGGATGTGATCATGGATGGCCTCCCTGAGGAGGTAACATATCTGCTGGATCCACTTCTGTGCTCTCTCCCTCTCTGGTGCCTAAATAGCCAGGGCAACAGAGAAGATGCCAGGTCATGAATTCCTAGAGCCCTGAAGGCCTTTGTTTACCTTTCTTCCACTTTATTGATGGGAACATGGGGGTCTAGATAGCAAGAGGGATTTACCCCCAAGGAACTGGCTAGGGCTGGAACTATATGGGGTAGGACTTGTGGGGTAGCCTGGTGCTGTGCCCATCCCACACACTTGAATCAATTTCTCTAGGAAAGGAAACTTAAAGATCTTTCCTCTCTCCTTTCTTCTGTCTGGGTTGGGAAGAACAATTAGCAAATGCATGCCTTATGAATCACCCTTCTGTTGTCACGTGATCCAGTATTTGCCCACTCCCAGGACCTGAACATCACTGTGATGATAATGGGGTGTGTGTGTGTGTGATTTGGGGGTGTAAGAAGAGGAAAAGAGAGAGCAAGGTGTACTTAGGGTTTTCATTTCACAAAGTCCAACTTTTAATTGTCCCAGTAAATGGAGGGGAATGACAAGCTGGGGTATATCCTGAAGAGTACAACCAACTTTCAAATATTGTTGATGAGCCTTTTCCCTGTCAAATCCCCCACCTTAATTTTAATTCCAGTTGATTTTAAAAGGGAACTTTCTATGATAATTGGGTCCTTGTGACATACATAAGTCACTTCCCCTAGCTGGGCCTCAGTTACCTTGTCTGTAAAATGGGAGTAAAATAGGAGTCAGGCTCTTCAGTTTACACCTTCTATAATCTGAGGTGGTGGGTAGGGAAAAGGGTCCTGGGGAGAGTCTTGATTCCTATCTGGCCCCTCCTCAGGTCTGGCATTCCAGAAAAGAGCCTTCTGGGAACTGCCTGCCTCCCGCACACCCTGTGCCTGGAACCATTCTTTCTCGTTCAAATTTCAGAACATCATCTTTTGACACAGAAGTGATCTCTCACTTTGCACCAGAAGAAACTGAGATTCAGAGAAGTAAACGAATTGGTACCGAGGCCCCCCAGCTGGGAAAGGGGTTTCACACCCAGTCTGGCTGAATCTCAGGCCCACGCTCTACTCAGGCTCTGCCTCTGAAGATGACTTGATTTGTTCAATTACACACAGATTACTCTCCAGGACGGAGACTCGCCCATCCCCTCCTCCTGAGCTTCTTGTCCTCCACCCTGCCTCAGCCCCTCAGGACGAGGTAATTTCCCGGACCTTGTCATTACCAATAATTGTACCCCTACCCTCAGTAATTTCGACATCAAGTGTCCCATCCTCCTGATCCACCTCCTGTCTTCCTGCTCACTCCTTCTGGAAGCCTGTCTCCCATCAGGGCCTTCACTCCACTGACCCCTACCTCCGAATGTTCCTTACCTTCTTCATGTCCTGACTTTCCTCCTTAACCAGCTCAGATTCCCAGGACCATCCTGGTAATTACTTTCTTGCAAACACCCTCAACCCCCTTGCTCCTCTTGTTAAATTGCATTCGCCTGGACAAACCACACCCTGGTTAATCCAACTCAGTGCTTGCACCCACACACTTGACGAAGCTGGAGGAGAGACCCAGCCCTGCTGACTGGTCTCACTTGAAGGGCACTCCCACCCCGCTCCAGGGGGCCCTCAGTGCTGTCTGGCAACCTACCAGAGGCCCAGTACTTTTGCTTCCGACAGTCCAGAGGACCACTTCATGCCCTCTCCTCTCTCCTCCCTCCCTGACAGCTCCTCCCCATCCCCTTCTCAGCTGATGGACCTTCCTCCTACTTCACTAAGAAGATAAAAGCAAACTAGAAGCTTCCATAACCTCCCAACACCTCCTGCACCAAATCCCAGCCCATTCTGGACCGCTCATAGAGATGGAATCATATAGTAGGTGGTCTTCCGTGACTGCCTTCTTTTAGCATAACGTTTTCAAGGTTCATCTATGTTCAGCCTGTATTAGCATTTCATTTTTTCTTTATTTCCTAATAATACTATGTAGATATAGCAGCTTTTTATTTGTCCACTCATCAGTTGATAAACATTTGGTTGTTTCTATTTTTTGGTTATTATGAATGCTGCTATGAATAGTCATGTAAAAGTTTTTTTTTTTTTTTTTTTTTTTTTTACTTTTTAAGAGCTGTTTAGGCTCATAGCATAAATGGAGGGAAGATACAGATATTTCCCACATGCTCTCTGCCCCCACAAATGAATAGTCTTTCCCATTATCAATATAATCCATATAATTATGGCATGTCATAATCACCCAGAGTTCATTAGGGCTCACTCTTGGA